CGGGACCTGGTTTTGACCCTTAGAATTTTACAGGAGCACGGCTTTTCTATTAATTGGCGGAAAAGCCACTTATCCCCTTCCACTAGACTTCAACACCTCGGAGCTATCATAGACACTGTTTCCTCGGAGGTATTCCTCTCCCCTGACCGTATCGTAGGCTTAAGATCTCTAGCAGCCCGGGTACAGGGACAACGCTCAACTTCTCTCCTCACCTTGTCTTGTCTACTCGGCAAAATGGTGTCTTCGTTCGGAATCGTCCCTTGGTCCAGATTGCACAGCAGGGACCTCCAGTGGTACCTGCTCCCATTTCAGCGTTCCCGCCAAAGTTCATCGACCTTAAGGGTGATCCTACCCTCCCAAGTATCGCAGTCTCTGACTTGGTGGACTTCCGACAAGATATCCAAGGGCAGTCCTTTCCGCGAGCCCCAACGTCTGACCTTGACAACGGATGCCAGCCTGTCAGGTTGGGGCGCGCATCTGGGGACTCTGCTGGCGCAAGGCCTTTGGTCAGCCCAGGAGTCGAGGTTGAGCATCAATTTCTTGGAGCTTCGGGCCATTTTCCTCGCTCTTCGACAGTTTCAGCCCCTGTTGCAGGGCCGGGACGTCCTCGTCCTAACGGACAATGTCTCGGCCAAAGCCCACATCAACCGGTGGGGGGGGAACACGATCTCGATCTCTCATGCGGGAGACAAACAGACTAGGCGCCTGGGCGGAATCCAATCTGGCCTCCATAAAAGCGGCCCATATTTCAGGGATCGAGAATCGGACAGCGGATGCTCTCAGCCGGTCCACGATCGACCCAGCAGAGTGGAGTCTTCCTCCGGATCTCTTCCAGGAGCTGGTGAGGAGATTCGGTCTTCCGGCCATAGACCTCTTCGCCTCGGGGGCCAACCATCAAACGCCTCGGTTTTTCTCAAGGTTCCCGACTCCAGGGGCGGAGGCAGTGGACGCCCTCCGCAACACTTGGCCTTCGGGCCTTCTCTTGTACGCATTTCCCCCGATACCACTGATTCCTCTTGTTATCAGGAAGCTTCTACAAGACCGGGCGGAGCTCATCCTTCTAGCTCCCTTTTGGAGCCGCCGTCCTTGGTTCGCGGACTTGCGGACCCTCTCGATACAACCACCCTGGCGGATACCAGAGGATCGGATTGTACTCCGGCAAGGACCCTTATCCCACCCGGACCCGCAATGGCTCAACTTGACCGCGTGGAGGCTGAGCGGCGCATCTTGAGCCGTATTCCCCTTTCACAAGGTGTCATCACTCTCATTCAGGCATCCAGACGGGGCTCTACCACCAGGATTTATGAGGCCACCTGGCGTTCTTTCTCGGCCTGGTGTTGGAAGCGCCACCATTCACCAACTTCCGCTTCCTTGGAACACGTCTTGGAGTTTTTGCATGAAGGTTTTGTATCCGGCCTCTCCCCTAACACACTTCGTCGTCAGGTGGCGGCCCTTGCTTCTGTTCTATCCTGCGGGGCAAGGGATTCCGTCTCTCGTCATCCTCTAATTCGCCAGTTCCTAAGGGGCGCCTCTAACGTCCGTCCGCCTCCGGTTCGTCGCTTTCCGACGTGGGACCTGCCGAGGGTACTTGCGGCTCTTACAAAATCTCCCTTCGAGCCATTGAGGGAGGTTTCCCTCCGTTTTCTTTCTCTGAAAGTGGCCCTTTTAGTGGCAGTTACGTCTGCTAGAAGAATCTCGGAGCTGAGCTCACTGTCGGTTCGCAAGGAACTCTGCACATTTTACCCGGACAGAGTTGTCCTCCGGCTGGACCCTTCGTTCGTCCCGAAGGTGAACTCCTTATTCCACAGATCCCAGGAGTTAATTTTACCAAACTTCTGCCCTCGTCCTCGACATCGTTTGGAGCAGGATTGGCACAATTTGGACGTGCGACGTGCTGTCAAGATTTATGTGGCCCGTACTTCTTCGATCAGGCGAACGGATGCCTTCTTTGTGTCCTTCCTTCCCGCTACATTAGGATCCAAGATCTCGTCAGTGACCTTGGGTCGTTGGCTTAGAGCCTGCATCTCGGCGGCTTATGTTTCTCTTTCTCTGCCGGTACCTCGGGGCATTACTGCCCACTCCACGAGGAGCGCCTCGACTTCGGCGGCCTGGTCGACTAGAGCACCAGTAGAGGAGATCTGTCGGGCGGCCACGTGGGCCTCTCCTACTGCCTTCATCAGACACTATCGCCTGGACGCTTATGCCTCGGCGGATGCAGCATTTGGCAGGAGGGTCCTCCAACAGGTCCATCAGGCTTCTTAAGTCCGGGGCCGGCCTCCCTCCCGACAGGACACAGAGCTTGGGTATGTCCCATCCTGACTGCCGTGACCACCCTGACAGGAGAATGAGCGTTGGTACCTACCTGACACGCTCCTTCTCTGGCTGGTGGGCACGGCAGTCAGCCCCTCCCTTTCGGGCCGTCCCCGGTCTGTGGTAACCATCGGGGGGTGGGCTTCATTTATCTCTATGTCTTCTTTGTTTCCTCTAGACACGCCAGTCTGCATTGGATTCCTCGTCTCAAAACTGACTCCTGGAGCAGGGAGGCGGGGCTTCGTTCCTCTGCAGACTCGGTCCTAAACAGCTCACACCCGTGTCGCCTCCCATCCTGACTGCCGTGCCCACCAGCCAGAGAAGGAGCGTGTCAGGTAGGTACCAACGCTCATTTTCATTTATTTCTCATCAATGATGTCTTTCCTTCCTTGACATGTAGGCAAAACATTCAGCTTAATCTATCTCTTTGCCTTCATTGAATCTTTCTTCCCTTTGAAGAAATGACTGAAACACTTTTCTCCAAGTTCATTACTACTTGATTGCATATATCATAACAAGATTCAAAAGAAACATATTGTTCATGGTCTTTGATAACAAAACACCTTTTTGGGTTTATACTGATTCATGGGTTTCCCCCTTATGACTAATGCAAAAGAACCTGTTTCCAAGAAATAAATTCATGCCATGAAGTAATCTGCTGACTTTGTGGGTGAGATATGAAAAAAGACATTATGGTTTTTGTTTGAAAAGTGTAGCAACACTCTCAGAAATGCATTTTTTGGTGACCTGTGGTGATTTATAAGCAGATCAATAGCAACAATTGTCATTTATCTGTTTAAAATAATCCATGTTACAGGTAATCCTCGACTTACAACCACTCATTTAGTGACCCTTTGAAGTTACAACTTTGAAAAAGTGACTTATGGTCATTTTTCATACTTAATGGCCATTGCAGCATCCCCATGGTTACATGATCAAGATGTCAGTTGGTTCATATTTATGACGGTCACAGTGCCCTGGGTCAGGTGATTTACCTTTTGCAATCTTCTGATGAACAAAGTTAATCGGGAAGCCAGATTCATTTAATAACCTTGTTACTAAATTAACAACTGCAGTGATTCATTTAACAACTGTGGCAAGAAAGGTTCCAAAATCGAGCAAAACTCACCTAACAACTGTGTCATTAACAGCAAAAATGTTGGGTTCAATTGTGGTTGTAAGTCAAGGACTACCTATATCTCCCATATTTTGCTCTCCCTGTGCTTCATTGTCTGTATGATCAGCCCAGCAAAATCGAGCAAATAAAGTATGGAGGACCATTTACTTGGCAAATTCCATAGACTCATATTTGGGGAAATATGGTACCTCTGTTGAGATGAAAAGCTAGAAAGCAACAGACAGCAATGAAGTTTTCATCTAAAATTCTAAACTGGTTTTTTTTTTTCCTACATGCCCACTGGGCAAAACCTGTGCTCCTTCTAGTAGTAGTTGCTCCACTAACAGCATTGAATTTTTCCACTTTATGCATGTTTGTATCTGTGCTAAAAGTGAGTTAAAGTTCAAGTTCCATTGGCATTTCATACATGTTTTAAGGCTACCAGGGCTTAAAAGAACATTGCATTTAAAGGCTATAGGAAATCAATGTAGCTGCACTGGGAAGCATGCGCGTAGACTAAATTCTGTTCAACTGCTCCTTGAATCCAGTATTTTCACTGTGTTAACATTAAATCTGTTTCCACAGAGAAACAGTTGCCTGTTTGAGACACAAAGTTTGTTCCGATTACTTCCAAATCTACAAAGGATGATTATTTTCCTGTAACAGTGTTTCCCCCCCACTCTTAATTACCTTGTGATCATTAGACAGGCAGCATTTAAATGGAGTTGATGATTTCGTGTTATAGAGATACTTTTGCATAACCAATTAAAGCCCCAAGAGTTTTGAGGACTTTGATTTTTCTGCAATATGAGCAAAGTGCACTTTCAGGGAAAGTGTATCCACTATGAATTAGGGAGGGCCAGTACCAGCATGGAGGCGGATGTTTTCTACAGTATGATGGTCATGTATAGTGTAACAGCCAACTTGTAAATGATCCTTTTAGTGAAATAGTTACTTGATAAAAGAAACCTTAACAGACTGTAGCTAAAAATAGCCCTTCCATGCTGACCTCTGGTTAAATGAATGAGAACAGAATGTGCTTCAAGGACCTGTAGGCCAAATTACTAAAAAGGTTGTGATCTGTACAGGACTTCTACAGCACTAGCTGTTTTTCTTTTTCCTGGAAATTCATAAAAAAATAAAAAATAGAATGGCCTTACCACCTTTCCATCAGTTGGATGATTCTGTAGCTTTTGAGATGCTATTGCCAATTGCTCTGTTTGTAGTACAGATAGTGCTCTACCTGTGACCATAATGAACCCTGCCCATTGCAATAGCATGTCCTAATGGCCGTTAAGCCTTGCTTAACAATCTCCATCCCCCGCTCTCCTAGATGCAGTCATTAAGTGGAGCACGAGTGCCTCAGATGGGAAAGAACCTGGGAGTCATAGCGAAGATCAGGGCCTGCCTGTCCTGGGTCTCCTAAAGCCTCACCCATCCCCAGAGACACACCATGCTCCATTTTCCACACCTCAGAGTCCCTACAACCTTGAGCTTTCTTCTCTCTCCCCCCCACCCCCAAATCCGGTCCCTGCAGGGCTTGGGCTTCCTCCACACCCCCTTTATTACATACTGATCTTTTGAAGATCTCTAGAGTTCTGGACCTCACGTTGGGGAAGGAAGGCAAGCCACATCATCCCTCACTGTTCCTGGGCTGTGGGAGCCACCTTATTTCAGCATGGCCACAAAGAATTGTGGTCACTTGGAAAATGGCAGCTGTTTCTGGGATTGTGCTTTGTTGCCAAGCAACAAAGCGGCTGGCTAAAGTTCCCTAACCCAAGCTCCAGAGATCTTCTAAAGATAAGTGACCGCAGGCTGCCACAACCAGTTGTAAATGCAAGCCAGTTGTCCATTGACTGAATGGTGACCAAGGGAGGCATTAGACCCCCTTCCCACTGCTAGCCTCAGAAGTTACTCCTAAAAATTGGAGGCTCTTCTGAAGAAGAACCAATCATGTCATAACATAATACAAGTGAAATAGAAAGGTGACAAAATAGCAACAAATATACATTCTGCAGAGCATCTGAGACTTTGTTTTTATTTTTGTTGCAATAATTCTTGCGATAACCCTTACCTTCTTATCATACATACAGTACGTGCACAACTTTGCATGACTGGAAACTCAATTTTTCTGAAGGTAGCTTGTATAAATTATTGTAGAACAGTCAGTATGGTGATAACTATATGACTGTGACAAATCACATTCCCATGGCTGTTACTGATTACTGGACTTATCTGATTTAAATCAAGACTACTGTAGATTCACAAAATAGATCTAGCTCTTGACTGTTTCTGAGAAAGTGCAATAAGTATCTGAACATAAATATAAAATATAAATGTAAAATATAAAAATGAATATAAAATAAAATAATTTGTTAGATTTGTACTTTCATTTAGAGCTCAGCGTGGCATATGGAGTACTTTCTTCCAGGGATGGATTCTACTTAACTTTACTATCAGTTCGCAACGGGATTGCGCTCACTCGCTCCACTTTGCATGCGCAGATTGCTTCTGATGACGTCAGGGTCAGTGGGCGGAGCCTCCCACTGGTTTTACTACCAGTTCTATAGAACCGGTCCAAACCGGGGGCAACCCACCACTGCTTTCTTCCCCCCCAACAACTACCCTGCAGAGAGAGTTGGGCTGCAAGAGAGTAACGGTCCATCCAGGGAACTTCTGTAGTAGAAGGTAAATTAGAAACTGGGTCTCCCCAGTGCCAGTCCAGCACTTGAACTACTACAACTCACCACTTCTTGCTTAATTCCATAATTCTACTGGCTTTCAAGCTTATTTTATTAACCTCTTAAACTATTCACCAAGAGATGAAACAGTTATGTTTTTTAGGATTCTGATATCTATCTTAGAGCTGATTTAGTGTAGTGGTTAAAGCAGCAGGATGCAAACAAGAAGACTATGAATTCTAGTTTTGGGCCAGTCTCTCACTCTTTGCCCTAGAAAGCAGTCAAGGGCAAACCACTTCTGAAAATCTTGCTTTAAAAAACTGCAGGGACTAGTTCAGGCAGTCACCAAAAATTAAAAACTGTCTTGAAGGCTACAAAAACCAAAAAACCCTCTCATTGCAACATATTTCTTCAAATGTGACCAAAGGCAGTTTCCATTAAAGCTTCTGTACAGTTAAGAATAAGGTCTAAGTGTATTGTTTTGCTCTTTGCATGTTTCATGATGGGAAGAGCTATTCCATTTTTTTCATATACCAGAAGGTCCCACTAAAAGCAGGGAGTTTAACAAGCAGGGGGTTTAACTCTGTGGTGCCACTAGTGCTATGAAGTTTAAAAAGTTGGGCCTCTGCCACCCTGTCCACTGTTAAGCCAAAAAAGCCACTTCACCAAGTAGAGTCTTGTATTGTATAAGAGTAAAATCACATTCAAGTTATTACTTCTGCCCCCTGGAATGAGGGGGAGTTGACCAGAGTTGCTTCTGATCTATTCAGCACATTTGTGAGAATTACCAAAGGAGTCCCAGGAATGGAGGATGTAGGAGGCCCATGCCCTGTGTCCCCTGCTCTGTTCCAGGGGTGGGTTCTAAATTTTTTTTACTACTGGTTCTGTGGGCGTGGCTTATTTTGTGGGCGTGTCTTGATGGTCACGTGACAATTCTTTAGGATTTAGCAGAGGTACTGATCTACCAGGCTTTTAACTGCTTGCAGAACTGTGTCGGTCTACTCATTTATTTTTGCAGGCACTGGTCTACTCATTTGTTTTTGGAGGCATTGGTCTACCCATTTATTTTTGCAGGCACCGGTCTACTCATTTGTTTTAGAAAGCACTGGTCTACCACCACACTGCCTTTTAACACTGATCAGCTGTAGGGCAGCCCTTTGAAGCTCCGCGACAAGAGTTTAAACAGTTTTTTTCCTTCTAGCCAATCAGCTGGGACTCGGGAGGCAGCAATAGATTGGGGGTGGGGCCAAATAAAAGGTAAGAATAACGCGGGGGCAGGGGGGCAGAACCAGTTCAGTGACGTCATATCATCACGACTACCGGCTCGGCGGAACCAGGAGGAACCCACCACTGCTCTGCTTAGTGAGCAAGCCATCCTTTTGTGGGGAGAGGTGGGGAGGGGACAAGCTGGCCATACTTCTTAGCCAAGCTGCCCAAGTGCCATTCCTTCAGCTGGTGGATCACTCACTGTTGCTTTGCTAGAAAGGGAAACACTGCAGATTCCTCCACTTTGCTGGCACCTTGTGCAGTGTCCTACTTTAACAACTGTATGCTACATCCCTGGGATTACCATTTGTGGGACTCTGCACACTTGTAAGATTCAGCCGCCACCCAGACTCGAGTCACTTCCCAGCACTTAGCATTTAGATCTGGAAAAAGGGAAAATGAAGCTCAAAAATATGAAGCTTTGCCTTGATTCTCCATCACTGTAGTGATTGGTGGATGTTTTCTCACAGTTTTGGAGTTGGGTGGCAGCACAGCCAGTGTGTTAAACCAATAATTTTGTTTAACATGCCCTGGAGGTATTTAATCGGGACAGTATCGCTCAGCAGTGAGTAGGAGCAGAGACAGTGTGGGATTTGTAATGGGGACAATACATTCACGCCACTGTGGTGTTTCTGCTGACTCAAGAACGAGTGAGGAGTCTTTCACTCAGCAGTGGGGAAAGGCCCTTAGACAGGATATTACAATAAGAGAGGAGGCATCTAAAAAAAAACAACCAATAGTTTCACGGGACTTTAGAGTAGATTAAGAATAAGTACTATACAGTAATGTCTCCTTTGATTTCAACTTCTCGGTCAGAACATATTATAAAGTTACAACTTTGCTGAATTGAAGTACTTCACTATAAGAATATATAGATAGTCCTTGACTTACAACCACAATTAAGCCCAAGGTTTCTGTTGCTAAACAAGACAGTTGTTAAGCATGTTTTCATGGCCTTTCATGGCCTTTCTTGCCACAGTTGTTAAGTGAATCCTTGAGTTGTTAAATAATACAGTTGTCAAATGAATTTGACTTCCTCATTGACTTTTCTTTTCAGAAGGTCGTAAAAGGTGATCACATGATCCATGATCATAAGTACATGCCAGTTTCCAAGCATCTGAATTTTGATCATGTGACCGTGAGAATGCTGCAGTAGTCATAGGTGTAAAAAAAAAGGCAATAAGTCACTTTTTCAAAATTGTAACTTCAAATGGTCACTAAACAAATGGTTGTAAGTCGAGGACTACTTGTTAATACATACGTTCAGTATTTAAGGATGTATACAAAATATTTTCTCAAAACTGAAGGTATCCTTTATTTGAGAATGGATAAATATAGCATAAATAATGTAATCAGAATGGTGTTTTTTTCCAGACTAATCTGTGCTTATTTTTGTTGTACAAATGTAGAGATGTTTATATTGCAAAGTTCTGATATCTCCCAATCTACTCCAAGCTGTTCAGTTTCTTATCTTTTACGCTCTTTTAAACACATGATAAGTGGACAGAAACTGCAGGCAAACAACAAATTATGGTGGCAGGCAAGAAAAGAATAGTCTGAAGGCCATTTGAAAGATTTATTTTTCTGCAGTGTCATCCAAAATATTGGTAAAGTTTCCAATTACTCTCAGCAAGATTTACTACCCCTGTAACTTCTACTTATTGCAATATGATCTAATGAAGGCCTCATGTCATGCACTAGAATCCTTATACATTTAGATTGTGATTAATCCATAAGGGGGCAGGAAATTATTGTAGAGATTTAAGAAAGCATCATACAATGAGCACCAGGAGAATCACTTTAGCCACAGGATGCAAGATTAGACGAGAGAGAAAGAATGGGCCACCTGCTTGCTTCCTATAACTACTGAGCCCCTTTGTATAACCCTAGAAATCATGCTGTTCAAAATCAGTGGCAAGCCACTGAGAAATAGGTGCAGTTTGACATAAACAATTGGTTTGATCATTTGCTTATTTTTAGCAAACCATATTGTACCATGGATTCCTGCTCTTGGCTCTTTGTGGCTGATGAATGGGAACAAAAAATTCTTGCATGGTGTTCTGATAGTGGCCTTATCACAGATACATCTTTAGACATGGGGAATTGTTAGAAAATGCCCATGAGTCCAAATGCTTGTTGCCTTATAAAGCAAGAGAAACTAGTGCCCTTACTGCATTGGAAAAACTGCACAGAGCTTCTGAATTTTGGCTGTTCTTCTCCCCCTCCCTCCTCCAGGTTTCTTATCTCTTGCTGTAAATTCCCTAAAAATGCTACTGATTCCAGTAAAATACTTTAGTGGGCCTCTTATTTTGGCAGGAAGTAGGAAAATATATCCCTTTGCACTATTTTTCTTAAAAGAAGCCCACTGTTCTCTTCCTTTCAACTTTGCAATCTACATAAGGTTTACATCAAGCTGCTGGCAATGTTCTGAACTAGGAAACCACCAGATTCTGCTTAAATGATGATGAAATCATTCTTAAATGAAATCTTGTAAGAACCTTCCCGCAAAAATTGCAACATCAAGAAGCACTTTCTTGGCAAATAATTATTTGCATTTGTGGAGGCTGCCTGGCCAAAACAGACTTGGAACAATGGAACATGCACATTTTAAAATATGAGGAGAATCTGTTTATATTAATAATATCATCTGGGAAGGGGAAAGCATTAATCATTTATAAGAATCCCAGATACAGATGAAGTATTTAATCCTTTCCTCTTTCTATTCAAGAAAATTCTTCACCAGAAGGAGGTACAGTATTCATATCAAGAAGTCCTCACTGAGCACAGGGCTAAATTTCTCTTCCGCCTCTGCTGTAAGCAAAACCCTGATCAGTTCCTTCATATTATCAAATATCAGTGTTAATGTCATATATAGTTTTGGCCCTAACATTTCTCTCCAAATGATGTTAATGCATTGGGTTTAAATTTATATGAAATTGGGTCCTTAGATCAGGTTAGTATTAGATCCCACTTTTATGGTTAACATAGGATAAGAACACCAGTGAATCCAGAGGGTGTTCACTCCTGTAACCATATTGGAAAGGACCTAGTTGAGTATGTTTCTATGCAGTTACTACTGGTTCTTTCTTTCCAATAAGATACAGAATAATTTTGACTGATTTATTATTTATTAAATTCAGAACACAGGCCTCATTGCTTACAATTAAGATGTTAGGACACAAAGATGTTAGCTTGGGAAAATGAATGTCACATCTGTCTTACCACTTTTCCTTTTTCATGCAAAAACCTACTAGTATCTCCACCCTTTCGTTTCACTTCATTCATTAAGCCAGTTCTATGTACAGTAAATACTCAGAGGGTTTCTTCCTATGGCGTGAAGCATTCCTCTATCCATTATGGTCTATAGACAGACAGACAACATGATACATACAATTCTTTGAGAGAACAGTATATTTAAATATACATAGAATAGTCTTTGAGCATCCTTCCTTGAATGAAAAACAACCACAAGTATTAAAATAATTACCACTGTGTTATAACAACGTAACTACGGGTAAACCTCAACTTACGACCACAATTAATTTGACATGAAGCCAGTGTGCAAGAAATGCTATAAGAAATTCCCTTTGGAGCTAAAGAAGAGGCTGAAGAAGTTGTCTGAGCTGACCTCCAAGAAAACACAACCCAAAGCTCTGAATCTGAATTCTGCTTAAACATGTCTCTGCTTCCTTCATACTGCATTCTTCTTCCCCAGTGGCAATCACCCAAGAATGGTTAAAGGGCCCAAGACACACAGAACCTCACCAGTTACATTTTGTAATCTGAATGTTTTCTGCTCAGGTATATTGCACAGAGTCTGGCCTTTGGGGGGAAAAAGCTGTGGATATACATGAATATGCATTATTTTCCTTTTGTTATAAATGTGTTTTGTGATATTTTTTTCATCTTTCAGTATTAAAAGCCAGACTGAGACAAAAACAAAAAACAAAAAAACTTACTACCACAATTGAGCCCAAAATTTATGTTGCTAAGTGAAAAATTTGTTAACTGAGTTTTGCCCCATTTTAGGACTTTTCTTGCCACCATTGTTAAGTGAATCACTGCAGTTGTTAAATTAGTAACACAGTTGTTAAGTGAATCTGGCTTCCCCATTGACTTTGCTTGTCAGAAGGTTGCACACTGCAACTGTAATAAATACGAACTAGTTGCCAAGCATCTGAATTTTGATTATGTGACCATGGGGATGCTTGAATGGTCATAAGTGTGAAAAATTGTCATAAGTCAATTGTAACTGAATGGTCACTAAGCAAATTGGTATAGGTTGAGGACTAGTTGTACTAATTAAATTTTAAAATGCCACAGTATTTAGGGCCTATATAGGGTCACAATCCTACTCAGTGGGTTTCTTTAGAACAGCCATGAATCTGTTCCATTGATGTAATTCAAAGATATTCCCTAATGCTGCCAACTCTTTTTTGGTAAGCTAAAGGTAGAAATGCCCATTAACAATCCATATTGCATGGATTGGCTTTGCTTTCATGTATATTTCTTATTGTGTTCCACCTGCACAGTGCTTGTGACAGAGTGGGAGATGAAGTATATACAAGTATATGAAGTATATTTCTTGACTTCTGATAATTACGCCTTTTCCATTCTCTAGACAAATGAAAGCAAGTGGTTTTTGTTACCGTGAAAATACTGGATAGAGGAAGAAGGATAGAGTTCTCCAGAAATGCAAATCCAAATGAAGTATATTCTAACTCATAATCTAAGCACGGACAATCTAAGCATTTGGCAGTTGAATTTATGTGTGTTCAGTGAAGGATTGTTATTCCCTTCAATAAATTAAATATGACCTCAAATCAAGCTCTGGTCCTAGTGACTAAATGGAGGCAATCAGGATTTGTTCTTGACAATAATAAGAAAGGGTATGTGTGTGGGGGGGGGGGGGGGGAGGTTATCTTTGTTTGAAATAATTTTTGACTTAGTTTAGATTTCACCTCTGAAACTCTGTCATGACCTAATACTGCTTAGCTTCAGAGTCTAGACAAATTCTGACACTTGCTGAAACTTTCCTGTATAAATTAGTGTGAACATATCTCAAAGGTGCTTTTTCAGGAGACAACTGGACTTTCTTGTTTTTTCTTTGAAGACGTTTCACTTCTCATCCAAGAAGCTTCTTTAGCTCTGGCTGCTAAGCACCTTTCAGACAACCGTGACCTGAATGACAGAATTGCCATAGACTTTAAACGTGAATTTCATAATTTGTTGCTTTTGTTTTTAAGTATATTATAGTACCGTACATTAACCGTATAGTATATTAACAGGTAGTCGTCAGTGGTTTATATCCTCAGTTAAATTTTAGCAACACTCTTACTGTCATAAAATTCTAGACAAGGAGAGTATGGAGGGGTAGTGCTCACAATAAGTATTCATAAAAATACTGTAAAGAGAATGTGATACATTAATAGGGAACAAATGCTGTACAGTACATGGGAAAATATTTCTGCTGCCTTTGCCTGTCATTGTGCAAATGTATTCTCTAGAAAGTTCTCAGAAATTTTTATCTGATAATTACTCCACAAAATCATTATAGAAGAATTGTATGATGTAGCTTCCTTTCTGGAAAATCATGCAATGGTTGCATGAGAATAAACTGAGAAAAATTGCACACCCAACATGCCATATTCCATGTCTGGATGTTTCCTTAAAACTCAGTTGTATTCTGTTGGAAGAGATAGTGAGGAAATGCAAAGCACTTGTGGGCTTCATCATCAAATTGCTCTAACTACTTATGCGATGTAGTCATATCTGCAGAGAGCAGCAACTGCCTAACAAGCTACAGGTATCATAAAAGCCAACCTTAGAGTTAGAAGATGGGGGCCTTCTAATCCAGGTGCCTAACTGTAATAGTATCTGCATTAATCTGAAAGCATTTCCATTTCAATCTTTCTCAACACAGCACTTCATGGGAAATTGCAGTGATTCATTTCCTACACTTGTATTAGCACACAAGCTGTTGCAACTTTCCAGCATTGTCCACAATATTTTTCTATTTTTACAAATTTTAAAATATGACTTTTTCTGAGGAAATAACATCACCCTCCCTAAATGTAAAGGGGTGTGTTTGGGTGTGCGCGTGTTTATCAATAAATGCTAGCTGATGAGCAATTTAATTTTGATCTTTCATGGATCAATTCATTTGATTTTGCAGAATGCTTATTATAAGTTCTTCTGTAATGATCCTCATAAGGTACACGTTGCTTCATTCTTTGGTAAGGGCAGTGTGGACTGAATTCCCCAAGAAGAATAAAGAATAAAAAGATGGAACTATAAATTGGTCCACATCACTCCTCCAGCTGAATCAAAATACCAAACCCTTTTTTCTTTAGTTTGATGAAAGTAGGAATATTGAAGCAAGGGACAAAGGTTTGCTAATTTATTTTATCTCTTAGCCTTAATCAATCATAATAGATATTCAAGCAAACCTACTATCCAACCTTTAAAAAATCCAATATTTATCAATGTTATACACAGCAAATTCAGTGCCATGGATTTAAAATAGCATTCAAAATAAGCGTAGGTACGTATGTCACATACTCCATCATTTGATTTAATACTTCCTCTGCCTGTCTCTGCAATCTCCTTTCATTTCTCCTGACACAAGTCCTTGTGTTTCTTTTCTAACTAGCCCAGTAACTGGGTTTGTGCAGCCATGCACACGTGCACCTTATGTTTAGTGCATCTACATATTTAAGAAAAATAGGATGTACCATTTTATATTTTAAGCCTTTTTTAGAGATTACAAATCTATGGAAACTCACAAGGTCAAGAAGACTTTTCTCAGCTGCCCCACGGATGCAGTGGCATAAACTCTGGTTTCACATCTCATTAAGTCATGATGTTATTTGTTTATCTTTGACATAGTGTAGTAGATTGGGTGAATTCACACAACAAATTAAATCTGCAATTTAACTATGATTTGTGACTACAGTTTATCCAGCAAACTATTTTGAACAAAAGAAAAATATGCTTAGTGTGAAGGTTGAATCCCTCCCAAAGTAGCATAGTTTTAGCAGAGAAACAAAACAGAAACTATTCCGCCCCATCTAGAACTCCAGTTGAAGCAGAAGAATCTGCGATACAGATATTCTTCCAGAATACACGTCCCAAAAGCATTAATTCTAATGTTCTTTTTTTTTTTACTTTGCATTCTTTGCATTCTGATTCTAGCTTCAAATTTGAGTTAGCCATAAATAACAGGTTTTTTTTACAGATCTGGATTTCCTAGTTTCCAGTCAACAAAACTGATTCTTAGGAAGTTTAGTAGTTGAGTAACACTCTAAATATAAATGCGTCTACTGGAATTGCTGTTACTTTTCAGCAGTTAAGAGAGTCCTCCCCCCACCACCCCCCTCCCCGCCATAAATGGTAAAAGCAATTCTGGTGCTTATTATGCCAATGTCTTAGTTGATTGATTTTGAAAACAAGTCTTTAAAAAAAATGCTTGTATAGTAATATCACTCCATCCCGGGAAAAAAAAAATGTTGGTATTCAGGCCACCTCATAGTCTGGAAAGACACAGTTAGATACTACCCTAATCTGTAGATCACTTTCAAGAATGTACAGAGTTGTGCAACATTTGTATTGGAAAAACACTAGCGGCTAACTAACCCTCAGCCGACGTAGCTGCAGGCTGCAGAATGCTTGCATCACCCAGTTATGCCACAGCAACAGATGACCTGGGCTTCTATTTTTCCTTGCCAGACCTCTCATTCCAAACTCCACCTTAACCATAAAATGTTCTTTCTGTCCAGTGTCTGAAAAAAAAAAAAACAACCAACAGCCCTTGGTCATAAGATAAATGTTTCCCATGTGATTTGCTAATGTTCGGGTGTTGTTTTCCAAAGGTTACCAGTGTTTTAACAAATGAAACTTTTATCAGCTAGGATTTCTTTTTCCAGGGTGTTAGTAATTTGTAACAGTTGTTTTTTTTTTAAAGAAAAGCTTTCCAAAATACTGGTAACTTTTTGACAAAGGCTGGTAGTGCAAAAACAATGGGGGAAAAAAAATCCCGTAGTGCGTATTTGATATACAGGTAGTCCTTGACTTATGACCTTGAGCCCAAAATTTATGTTGCTAAGTGAGACATTTGTTAAGCGAGTTTTGCCCCGTTTTACAACCTTTCTTGCTACAGTTGTTAAGTGAATCACTGCGGTTGTTCAGTTAGTAACATGGTTGTTAAGTGAATCTGGCTTCGCCATTGACTTTGCTTCTCAGAAGGTCGCAAAGAGTGGTCACATGACCTTGGGACACTGCGACAGTCTTAAATATGAACCAGTTGCCAGGCAGCCGAATTTTGATCATGTGATCACAGGGAGACTGCAGTGGTCATAAGTGTGAAAAATGGTCATAAGTCACTTTTTTCAGTGCCTTTGAACGTCACTAAACGAAGTGATAAGTCAAGCACTACCAGTACAAAGGCCTTTCTGTTCTACTTGTACTTTATTGTTTGCAGTATTGAACAGTTGTGAAAGCAACAACATAAACATTACAGTAGTAACCCCTGAACAGACTCAGTAGAGAGCAAAATTCACCAAACATAATATTTTGGAGTAAATATACATAGGATTCCCCTGTATACATGTTGAATATTCAGTAAACACCATTAATCTTCAGTACAATTGAAATTTCCTGTGTTAAATATTTGGGAAAAATTGGGTCTTGGATTCTTCTTCTTCTTCCCTTAATGAATTGGCATACAGTAGGGTAATGCCAGCACAAGGAAGGTCAATATATTTAACAATCAAAGTTTTCTGAGAATAGAATATTTGAAAAATATAGGACTTCCTTCCACACCAGATTTTTAAAACTACAATTCTCAGGTGTGACAATAGATATTCAATTCTTAGGTGCCCTACCCAGGGATATCATCAGTAAGTCTCTTATTTTTCCATAAGCCATACTTAGCTCTAACCTAGAGCCTTTCCATTTTACATTTAACCATGGCACAAATTTTATCTGGCCCTATCATTTGTCTGCCATATTGCCATGACATTATCAATAACTGTATTGTTGGTTTTTCCCCCTCTTTATTCTGATGCCATCCATTGGAAGCTTCAAGGCAACTAAAAATCTATTAGGCTTGTTTTTGCTCATTACCTTGAAGGAAAGTCAAGTGAATTGCAGTTTTAGAGGACAGAAGAAATACTGGCAGGATAGAGATGGACAACTGAGATGCCAAATTCCATGCCATTGTAGTTCTCAGCCAACTCAAGTATCTATTCCATGCTTCTGCTCAACAATGGGAAAAGGTCCTAAGATTTCAGCTAAGATTCAGGCTTTCAAAGAAATGCCACTTCCATAAGCAAATTGGGCAGACATATGGATTTGGAAATAATATGTATCAGTAAATAGCATGCAATACACACTGTATAACTGTTAGTCATCCTCTGACAGTGTGGTTTTGGTAGACCATGTAGCAATAGCAATAGCAGTTAGATTTATATACCACTTCATAGTGCTTTACAGCCCTCTCTAAGCTGTTTACAATGTTAACACATCGCCCCCCAACAATCTGGCTCTTCATTTTACTGACCTTGGAAGAATGGAAGGCTGAGTCAACCTTGAGCCAGTGAGAATCGAACTCCTGGAGTAAGCAGTGAGTTAGCCTGAAGTACTACCTTCTAAGCACTGCATCACCGTGGCTCGTTCAATCGTAATACATCAATCTGTTGTTGAACTTTTATTAGAGGGTTCCCCCTCTCTCCTTAAATTGGAAGTGAATCTAAATCAGAAAAACTATTAATAGATAATGCATATGATAATTTCAAAAAACATGATGAGACCAGTGAAGCCAAGTGATTTTTCGCATGTTGAATGTCCTTGTAAACATAACCACTTGTCTAAGCCAGGTTTGGTTTGGTTTGGTTTGGTTTGGCTTGGCTTGGCTTGGCTTGGCTTGGCTTGGCTTGGCTTGGCTTGGCTTGGCTTGGCTTGGCTTGGCTCGGCTTGGTAAATGGCAGGCCACATTTCAGGATATATAAATATTAATGAGACAATTGACTTTAGCTCATATTTAAAATGACATGACTAACTCTACTACTTACTTAAGTCATTATAATCAGGGTGGATTTGATTTAAATCGAGTTGATTTAAATCACGATTTAAATCATGATTTAAATTACTAGTAAAAAGGCTTGATTTAAATCAACTCGATTTAAATCATAATTTTTAAAGAGCAACTGTCATCTCTGCTACTCCTTTGACCCGCCGATAGTCCCAGTGTTGCAGAATATACAGCCTCATGCTACATAACTAAACTCCATTTCATGCTGAATAAACTAAATTATTTATGTATCTTAAATAGAAAACTATCTTAAGATAGATTTTTACCCCAAAAGTTTTTTATTAAAATAAATTCGATAAAAATAAAAAAAATCCGATTTAAATTAAAAAAATCCGATTTAAATAAAAAAAATCTGATTTTTTTGATTTTTGTAAAAAAAAATCATTGATTTTTATCCACCCTGATTATAATAAACTTGCATTCTCTTCCAGTGTCAAAGACTGAATTAAATAAGCCTGAATTCTGCACATTCTCCCCATTTATTACTGCTCCAAGTATATTTCTTTCATGATGGGGGCTAAAAATAGTTTTCTTCTTCATCAGGTAGTGATTTCTTAATTATCCCTCCTATCAGTCAAGGAATATTGGGTATAAGCAAGCGCTGATCAAAGCGAAACATTTCTTAAAATTACAATTAAACTGTAACTAGGGAGCTGATCTGTGTTGGCAGGCATCTGTTTTTCCTAGGATAGGGACTGTATACTCCATTTCCCTACCCCATGACACCAAAACATCTGCAGAAGAAATGTGGTGGTCTTGCTACTCCTCCAGTTTTTGCTGGGATGCTGTAGTCCATAAGGCTTGCTAGAATGCTGCTTTCCCAGAATTTGTTACGTAGCACAGAACTGTTGCCAAGAGGAAGAGAAAGCTGTGGAGGCTTCTTAATGCATTTAATCATAGTATCCGAAACCAGTCTCCCCTTGCAACCAACTCCATAGAAGTCCCTACATGCCAACAAAATGCATGTAGAGAGTGGGAAAGGTGCAGGCTTCCAGAATAATATTTTCTTCTCTTTGGCTAGAAGGCAAATCGATATTTGTTAGCCCTCAGGCAATATCCTCTGCAAATGGCACATAGAAATGTAATAGGAAAATAAGTAAACAGATCGGCGTGAATCATAAAAAGTAAACATTAGCTGTCTTTTCCCCCTCATATATAGCACTTCCCCATGATCTGATTGTATTTGTCTAAACTCAAACTTCAAAGTGCACTTGTTCTATAATTTACCCTATAGAGAACAATAGATATTTCGTGGAAAGCAAGAGAATGCTAAGAGGGAGCTTTACACATAGTGGACAGACTTTCTTTCTTTTAAAGTTTTCAAATCCATTGTTATTTTTTTTTTAAAAAAAGATCAAAGTGATTTTACTATCTGACAGATCTTAGGAGGTGTACAGAAAAATATTTGAGTTGGAAAGAAATTGTGACAGTAGGGAATAGCCATCCGGATGTGGCATTGATTTCTCAGGCACCTAATGCTTCACATTCACTTCCTTTAGAAATGTTCGATGCACACGACAGTATTGTGCAAATTTCCTGTAAATAATATTGTCTGATTCAGAGAAAAAGTCTCTAAGAAGCTTCTTGGTAAACAGCCTGCTGACTAGAGAGCAGGTTGGTCTTTTAGTTCCCTGCGGTATGAAATAAATTCTAAATCAAGGAGCCAGACTAATGCCCTTTCACCCAGTGCTCTTTCTTTTGTATATACACATTACTACCGTAAGAGTACAAGATGTATGGATCTCTGATCTAGAACTTACTGGACTTCTTTTGATGGTGCCATAAACTGGAAGAGAGAAGATAAGATATGATAAGGATGGCATTGAAATAGGCTTTACACAAGAGTGCCAACACAGCAATTTCTCTATCCCTTGTTTTATGGGCCTGTGTGCTGACTCTGGAGGACAGCAGGGAAGAAGACCAGACAGGAGAAAAAGTAGCCCTGGTGACCTCTGCAGATTGAATCTAAGGGCCTCCTTCATCTAACACCTCCGTTTCCACATTTCAAACATCCAGTTACAGAGGTTCTAAGAAAAAGCTCACGTTAGTTTAAACTAAACCGCCGTTGTTTTGAAATGAACCTGAAGCAGTGGGTTCTGCAATAAGAATGTCACTTGGGCTCCATTAGATCAAACCAAAAGTTCTTTCTCCATAGGGAAAGGGGAACCATAGGGGCCAACCAAAAAAGAACACAAGAGTAATTGCCCTCTCTAATTCACATCCCAGCAACTGCCCCTGATGCTGGATAGTATAACTATGAAAGCTCAAGATGTTGGAATTTACTTATTGTTTGCTTGAGCTTTTATGCCATTGAGAAATTTGGGATTGGGGCTGCATAAAAGGTTAATTAAGCAAGTAAACAAATAACACCTGGTCCTTTGTGATACTGTACCATTCTTTATAGCACCGGTTCTCAAAGTTTCCCCCAGAATTTTTTCAAAGGGTCTACCAAATCAAATAAATATTTTAAAACCTCTTGGTTTCTTTTTCTAATATAATACATATTGATTGATATAACCCACGTAAACCAAAGCTCTTTGTGGCCATCAATCCTTTTTAAGAATGTAAAGGATATTAAGACCAAGATATTTGAGAACAGTTCTTTATAGTATACTTAAAAGAAGCAAGCTAGAGACTTGGTTGCAAGAATTCTTCCAGGATTAGGGTCATCACAGGAAGAGAAAAGTTGCAGACAGACTCCTGTTCCTCACGATGGTAGAGATCTTTCTCAACACCTCGTCCTACACACCAAAATAAGGCTTGCAGCTATTGCGTGCAAAGGGACTGCTTTGTATTACAGCCCTGTGCTTGCTCAGCTCTGCTTATACATCCTAAATTGCAGGGTGACCTTTATACTGCTTTTAGTATTCAGGATGCTTTGTAATCTTTCTCATTATGTGTCATGGGTCTTTTTAAAAATGTTTTAAAAAATCCAGGTATTGAAACTGCTCAAATCTGTCAATAGGTAAGTTGAGATAGGAAATCCCCCCCACCCCTAATTTCCCACGTTCCAAATCTAATCTTTCTCATATGAGACTATCATGTTGTATTTTACCCCCAACCATCTTCGAAATCTAAGTCATCTCTATCATTTAGTATACAAGATATAGCAATGTTCATGTGCTGGTGGATGGATGGATGAACGGACAGATAGATAGATTATCCCAAAGCCTGATGCATTAAAAGTCTTACCTTGCTAGACTTCTCTAAAAGCTATTTTATTGCAGTCCCAGATGACTGTTGGTGCCTATCTTGGATTTATTTTGGATTTTATCCTTGCTTCTTTTTTCTATTATCCGAGTATTTGGGATGATAATGGTGATGATTTTGCTTTGTTTGATGAGTGCTGCCCAGAATCTTTGGGACTGGGGAGGGTTATGTGTAATGATAAATCTCCATAATTGCGATATTTTGTTTTTTAAAAAAAGAGAATGTAAAAGTTTTGGATGCTATTGGAATATAGGTGTAGGAGAAGAGGAGGCAGAGGCTGGGGGTGTAGTTAAGAGAGGACTCAGCCTAGAATCCTTAGATGTCCACAAATGCTCCAAGACCAGCTTCCCTTGAATTCCATTAACACTTACCTAGCACCAATTTAGTGCTGTCCATTAGTTGACCAGATTTTTGTGTATAGACATGAGCAATAAATCAGCTTAACCAGAACTTAAGGTGTGCTTCTGATTCTTCACACTTGATAACACGATTCTCAATTGTTGTTCATTGTATTTAGAGGAAGGTTTCTGTCTTTCATTTTCTAAAGTTGGCTTTTGTCTCTATTTGCCAAACATGCAGGCCTGGAAGCTTGTCAGTGCAATGCATCAGTGACCTTGTATAAAAGTGATAATGTTTCTGCCAGCAGTGTGTCTACGGCATTGCCAGAATGAGTTGAAAACCTGTCAAAATATTCACTTGCTTGCAGACTGTAATTTCTGAATTTTCAGCAACATAGTCAGGCAGTGTAGGCTTCTGCCCACTGTTAAGTTGCTCTGCTCATCACAATTCTTTTAGCTGACAGAAAACTGCACACCGGGGTGATATTTATTGCCCTCGTTGTCAGCCTCTATCGCCTCTGTTCTCAATAACAGCCCCTCACCTAAGTTCCCCCCAAAGTCTAAGAGACTCTACATACCTTGAGGCTTCTCTTGGATGGTCTTTAAAGTAAGAAAGAAAACGCATCTTTAACACATTGGGCAATATAAGCTTGTCTCTGGGGACTAAATGTGAGGGAACGTCCTGGGAACATATTCCCAGAGGCTCTTTGTGCCATGGTTAATTGTAAATAGGGAAAAGGCCAAAGTCCACAAAAGCAGCCCTTTGCTGTGTGTTGACATGTTGCACAGACAGCTTGTGGAGGACTGATGTCACAAAACACATAAAGGCAGCATTCCAGATAGCCTTCAAGTTGTTTTTGATGAGGATGGACCTGTGCTATTCCTCCAGTCCCCAAAATGGTTGTAGTGCACAACCATGCAAAGAAAAACTGTTGGCCATGTATTTTTAAATGGCAGTAAAATTTATTCGTGTGTATGAGGTCTTCTAAACAGTACATCTGGCTTCATGTCCTCAGCAACTTTGCAAACATCTGGTTGGAAGAAAGTCACTGTGAGCCAGAGGGTTCTTTAAAGACAGCTTTAAAATCAGAATTTTTGAAGATCCACCTGGGATGTCTTCTCCATGTCAAATATCCCTCTTTCTTTGAACATTTGCTAGCTATTAAATCACTCCTGTCCCGATAAACAATAACCCTTAAGGAAACAAATGCTGTTGTCTTCTCCCATTCTTCAGCTAAGGCTAGCAGTTTCCTCTTACCTCTACTCTAATGTGCTTACTATTCTGCCTTTACAGTTATTTTGACTGATGAAGAGGTTCAGAGGAAAAGGGAGATGATAATGAAGAGGAAGGAGGAGGAAGCTCTTAAGGAAAGCCTAAAGCCCAAATTGCTGGAAGAACAACAGCGAGTCATTGAAATTCTTCTTGAAGCCCACCGCAAAACTTATGATCCGACTTATTCAGATTTCTCTCAATTCCGGGTAAGTTCTGCTTGCTTTTTTTTTTTTTTCAGTACTTTACTATTGTTGTGAGAAGTAGGACACCTGCTGGTGAAAAAAATGAATATTTTTCAACTTTGTAACTTTTCTGAATTAGTGATTCAAACTCTTGTCCACATCCCACTTAACAAAAGTAACATTGCTGGCAGATTCAAATCTACACCTAATTATAAATAAATACATTAAAAAGAAATTAAAAATAAAGCAAAAAACAAATAAACTAAAAGGGCAGTCTTGATGGGCCACTAGGTCTTTTTCTGCATATTGGTTTTCCATATTTCTATTATGAAAGAACAATTCAATATGTCTTTTAAATTGGAACTGTGTCCCAGATTGAAGCTCTCTAGCCAAGTCACCGGATTTAGAACTATTCCGACTGGAAATTATTTTCACACTAAGTTAGCATGAAATACATCTGTAAATACAGGTAGTCCTCGATTTACAACAATTCGCTTAGTGACTGTTCAAAGTTACAATGACACTGAAAAAAGTGACACGACTGTTTTTCAGACTTATGACTGTTACAGCATCCCTATGGTCATTGATCAAAATTCGTACACTTGGCAACTGACTCATATTTATGACGGTTGCAGTGTCCCAGGGTCATGTGATCACCTTTTGTGACTTTCTAACAAGCAAATTCAATGGGAAAGCCAGATTCACTTAACAATCATGTTACTAACTTAATAACTACAGTGATTCACTTAACAATTGTGGCAAGAATGTTTGTAAAATTGAACAAAATTCACTTAACAAATATTTCACTTAGCAACAGAAATTTTGGGCTCAATTGTGGTCATAAGTTGAGGACTATCTATATACCCCAGTTGGATTTACAACTGTACTGCTTGGAGAAATTAGTAAGTGTATTTGTGACTAGACTTCAGTTGGTGATAGCTGCAGTATGTGGGCTGCCCAGTATGGCTTCATCACAATCTGTCCTTAAAGATGTACTTGACAGAAC